GGATACAGGCATCTATAAAACGCCAGATGAGGGCTTGCGGGGTGCGATATGATTGCAAGCGGCGGATATAATATAAAAGTATGCGGATTTTTATAAAAAAAGTCTTCAATATGAAGAGTAAATGAGAGGTTGAAAGCTAGTGTTAAACCAAGGTATCCGAAGGAGGATATCTTGTTGGGCAGAAAGTCAATGGTTTCAGGACTGGGAGAGGGTCGCAACCGAAAGATGCACTGGACTGACTTCCGCTCATTAAGTAAAAGGCCATTGTCTGACGACCATACTGTGACATGGTCCAGTCCATCCTTCAGTGTTTGGAGATGAAAGAACTCACTTTTCTTTTTATATTGGATTATTTTACGCATTGTCTTTGACACGCATACGGGTGTGTACGCCATACGTGGCGCTAGCAGGGTCGCTTCAGTTCGTTGTCGCATTGTTTCTGGGTTCCGGGTGGCCAATTTACTTTTTTCAGTCCTTACTATCTTGGCTTCCGATGTTATAGCAGTATTTTTCAGATGCAGGTCCTCCTGAAAATACTGATGATTATTTTCATAAAGAGCATTCTTACTATTTCGTTAGTGACGACAACGGTGTGCGATTTGGTGCGCAAAATTGACGAAAATATAATTTTTCTCAAGATCATTTTATCAGAATTGGTTTGCTTATGCATCCTTTTCCAAGAATTCCTCCTCCGCTGTTAGTGCCTCCATTTTCTAACCAACGAGTTGACCTATTTTTCTCCCTTGAACCACCTCTAAAAGTGTTTATTCCATGCTCATTCCTTTTTTAACAGGCCGCTCGTGAGGAGCTCGCTGATACTGTTGCTGAATTGGAATGTTTGAAGATCCAGTCTAACCCCAGTAGTAACACTCGTGGAAACTCTATTTTCAGTGAAGTGAGTTTACTGGATCGGATCTTGTCCCTTTTGCTTTGTATTTTCACTGGTAGCAATCTTTTTTTTCTGTTCTTCAACCATTTGCCTTCCTCACGTATATGCTTAACCTTTTACCGTACTATTTTTTTTAATTTATCGTGGGTGTTTACTTGTATTGAGGCTTTGCACTTCCTAGCGCTCTTCCGAAAAGTTTTAATGGCATTTATTTCACCGTGGTAGTTTGAAATTCCATACTATATGCTCCAACTGTATTACCGCTCTATATTTTCACCGTCGCAAAAGTTTCGTCCTCCTGCTGTATGACAAAGTCTGATGTCGCCGCTGGGGTCTTTCACTGCTGATTGTTAACACTAGATCTGCCTGAGTACCTATTGCCATCAGACTGTCCTCTTGCGATCAATCCGGTCTCCAGCGCTATCCAAAACGGTACGCTTAAAAGGAGATTTGAAACCAGTCAGCCTTTACCGCTTCCTGGTAGTGAGTCCTCTGCTACCT